ATTATATAATTAAAAATAATTAATGACAATAAAATCTTAATTCAAAAATTATTTCTACAACACATGGAAAATGGATACAAACATTAAATGTGTGGTTATTTATAGATCTTTTATAAGGAGGAAACTTCAGCATATATTAATATATGTATATGTATGTATATATACATATATTTAAATCCCCAACTTAAGAAACCAGAAAGAGAAATTTAAATGCAAAATATGAAATATAATGTTTGATATTCATAGTTATGATCCCTTAACTTGAAATATTGTAAAATTCACACTTTTCAAATAGTACTTGAAGTTAATTTAGCATTGATACAGCCATGAAATATTATTATAAATTGGTTGTTATTGTTGGGTACCAAAAATAAAACTGTCTTCTTGGCAATTTGGTGTCACCTGAAATTGTAGTACGTGTTCATTTCCAATTATTTAATGATTATTCATAGAACTTTTTAGTTAAAAATCCTGTCTAAAATAAATGCCATATTTATTACAGTACTCATTTGAAACTTCACTCTAACTTCTAAAAAGGTTTTAAACTGTATTGAATACTATATACTTTATCGATTGCTGTCTTTTTAAACATGTCTATGATTTTTAGAAGCATTTGAATGGGGCATATATTCTAATATATAAGAAATAACCCTACTCTTTTTTATATTATGTTAAAGAGTAAAAACAGGATATATTAAAAATTGCAAATAAGGTATTAAATCTCTGAAGATATTCTACTTAAAATACATCTGCCTCTGAAATCAAACTATATAAACATGAAAAATAAAATTTTATATTGCTATTTAAACATAGGTAGAAAATATGTATAAAATGTTTAAAGGTAATGTTAAGTTTTTATGTTTGTTATGTTATTTTATATTTATTATATTAAAAAATTTTTAAAAGCCTTCCAGAACAAGGATTTTTAAAAGTTTCTCTGTATTTATACTCTGTTATGCTTTCATTCACTATAACTAAATTACTGAACATTCACCCATGTGGAAATTTATGAAGTTTGCAAAAAAGAAAAATAAAGAACCCAGTTTATTTGAAGAAATTTTAGGTAGCCTAAGAAAGAAAATAAATTTAAATATTTTATCTGCATTATCTCTGGATCTCTTCATAAACTTAAAGACATCTACATCTATGTTTATACCTGTGTATGTCTAGTTCTATCTGCCTACTTTTAATAAAAAACTAACTAGACTCTTCTTTGACATGTGCTATATACTACAAGTTAATTAATTGTTCTATTGCCTATAAAACCAAAGTTGTTGTAGTAATCAAAAACGTTATAGTAATAAACGCTGAAATTCAACTTAAGATTTTTTTTTTGGTGAGGTAACTAGTAGGTCTGAGGCTATGATTTCATTAGTTTGGGGAGCTTCCAGTGTGGTAATTTCCTTTAGTCGTGTAGATAAGAAATGCGGCTATACCATACAGTTCTAAAGATTCAAATGGGGTACTGAAAAAAAGTAAGTGACTTGCCCATTTCACACACCTAGTATGTGTCAGAAGTAGGACTTGAACCCAGGTCTTCCTGATCACGAGGCTGGCCTTTTAACCTTGATGTTTTTTCAAGACATTAAGAAATTTTTAAAAATACACATATGCCAAGTTTCTAAGGTCAAATTGTTTTGATATTTTATTCAAAACTATGTTTGGGTAATACAAGATGTTTTTGAACACGAAGTATAATGTGCCCCCAGTTTTTCCATTTTTCTTCACAAAGGTTTAAAACAGAATTAATGACTCAGATTTTTCAAATTTCAATCAATATTTGATCAAACATCTGAGAAAAACAGCATTGAACTAGGAATCAGGAGACCTGGGTTCTACATCTGGCTCTGACATTAAATGGCTGTATGATCTTGAGGATGAACACATGGATTCTTTGTGCCTCAGTTTCCTTGTTTACACAATGAAAGAGTTCAATTAGATAATCTTTAATGGTCCATTTAACTCTGAATTCCTATTACCTTATGAAAATTTTGGAATGTAAATATCTTTACCAACCACAGAAATAATGATATTATACTGACATCAAAATGAAAATTATACCTACTTTAAAAAAAGCAACTTCTCTTGACTTATTTAAAAATAAAATCTTCATACAATAATAATACATTCAATATTTATAAAGGTTACACATTACTGAATAGTAAGATCCAACACACAGCTAGTCTGAAAATCAATTGATTCTTGAACATTAAATTTACAAGACAAAATTTAAATTAAAATGAGGCAGTGGTAGACTGTCAAATAAGCTACTCACTATGTTGTTCCCACATAATTTCTGATATAGATGCAACACTTATCTTTCAAAAACTAACCTTACCAGCTGTGACCCTGGGCAAGTCACTTAACCCCAATTACCTAAAAACAAAACAAAACAAAACAAAAAAACTAACCTTGCTCTGTAAGCATTCTCAAAAAAAAAGTGTAATTTATAGCATAGAATTTTAAATTAAGACCAGTGGTGAGGAAACAAACAAACCAACAAACCACTGGACTCAGATTCCTAAGACTTGGATTTTAGCTGTATCACCTTGGGTATGTCACTTAATATAAAATTTGTTTCCTCAACCACAAAATGAGGTAATTACTACCAGGCCTACCTCAGAGAATTGCTATAACATCACATTTAATCCTTATGTGTGAAGATGTTTTGAAAAATTATAAAGCTTTATACAAATGTAAGGTATTAAACTATTGTTTAAAGTAAATGGAAGGCACAAAACTATTAATGCAGTTTCTTTGGTTCATAAAAATGATGTAACTTTACCATAAAGTAAACAAAAAAACTTCATAGAGTCTTAATGCAATAGTGAACTACCTTCTGGTCTCAAATTATTATTTCATAAATTATATACTGCTTCAATCACTGTAAATCACTTAACAACCAGTAATTCTAGACAGGATGCAAACACTAGATTTAGGCACATGCAATTCTGAATAACTTTCCTGCTACTAACAAAAATTTGTATTTTAAAAAATTATCTTCTCTAAATCAATCAAATATTGTTGTAAAACAAACTCCTGGCTTTTATATCACTCTCAAAGAAGCTTATCAGAAAAATTCTAGAGCTACCCAACTCAATATTACCAACACCAATGTTTGAGGGGGCCAGTGATAAATTCACTTTAAAAGTTCACCACACAGATTAAATGATGAAATACAGATTTTTTTAATGGACATAGCATATACTTTCACATTATTTTTCTGGATTATGTAATATACCTCACATTATTAATTAAACATGGGTACACATTCTCACCTGACTTGGCAATATAATGATAATACAATGGACAGGCCTACCACACTTCGAAAAGGAACTAAATATTTTCAAGTCAGCTGCATTGATTCCTAATTTTCCTTTATTTTTTATTACTTCTAAATATCATATTTAAGTAACCTTGACATTTCTATGAAAATATAGTTGCCTCCACTGGAAAATGGCAGCTTATGGAGCTGTTTATTTTTTTCTTAAAAATTCAGGTTAAAAGCTATACTAAATTAGGTTCTCTAGATTCATTAGAATACAAACACTTCAGAATTCTCAGTCACTCAATTTTGGGACTGCATGTCTATGAATACAGGGCTATCTTCATCTGTTTCTGAACCTATGAAAACAAGACATGGTAGAGTACCCAGAAAAAGCCACATGTCACTTCATTTTCTTGCTCAAAATACATAATTATCTTTACACTTTTTAAGAATCACCCATAAAATATTCTTTATTGATCTTATACCAACTTACATGATAATCTCATCTGTTCAAATAGAAGCAAAGCTACTAAGTTCATCTGTTATATTTCATATCTCAAAATCAAGACTATTTAAATTGTTTTTTTTTAAAAGGACTCTGTCATTTTAGATAACTTACCCACCAAGTGAGCAATTAGAAAGTATATGTGGGTGTATTCTGCAGTCACAGCTCTCTGTACAACCTAGTTCTATGTTAAATTCCAGATCCATAAGATGCTTGAATTATTTCCTCTTGAACATTCAAAGTACAAGATTTATCAGAAGCCAAACCACGTTAGGAAATATGAGTCATGAAGTAAAAATCAAGGCAACTTCTATCCCTCACTGCATTATATTAGTTGAAAACATCAGAACACACTACCCAGTAAATAACTGATCTTGTAATTGTAAAAACTTGTAATAGCCAGAATTATTCAGCGAATGTCAAAAAGGCATCATAAAAAGAAGTTTTGGCTTAACTGTAGCCAAAACAGGTTGAATACAGATTTCCTTTAAAAAATAGTCTATCAGACTCTCAAATACCAACACCATTAAGAAGTTAATGCTAATCACACAAAAAGAAACTTTTAAACATTTCTGTAAGCAGTAAACTGCCATCAAAATGACAGATACTAAAGCTCCCCTAAATAATACAGGCCATGATCCAAACTAGAATAATGCTTTACTACAGTCAAAAATCAACTGTAATTCTAACCAGAATACACTTCACATTTCCCCATCTGAAATGATGGATATGAGTATTAAAAACAAGCTAGATTTATTTTCACTGCTGTGGATGCTATGCAGTACAGAAAAATCTCACCTATTTATATCTTTTTTTCTCAACATTTTATTATCAAAACGAATGCCTCATAAGGCATTTGAATTTCTTAAAATTATAAGTATTTAGCCATTATTTATTAATTGTATGCTATCTCCTCATAGAAAAATAATGCTAAAGTTTTATAAAGCATTCTTTCACAACTAGACTCTCTGAAAATAGAAATAAACTTGACATTGATTTAAGAAACACCCCTAACTCCTACTGAAATGTTTACATACATTCAAAGAACACCAAAAGTTACTTAAATTAAAAAGGTTAACCAACTTCACTGAAATAGGTACAAACTGTCTACAGTAAGCTCTCTCAATAGAATATTTCAACAACCTTTATTTGAATCCTCTCATTAAAAACAGTTTTGTCATATTAGTCAAAAATACAATTCCCTGAGGTATTTAACCCAAGACTTACCTGTGAATAGTCAAAGTCAGAAAGAGGGGCTATGCTCTTGATATAGTCTGATCGAAATTGGTTGTCTGGGTTGGCCAAAGGAACTGGGGGTATTAAAGTGCTCATTGCTGAAACTATCGTCTAAAATTGGAAAAAAGGAAAAAAAACCACTAAATATTAATCTGGATAAACGTAACATAGAGAGTCAAGATATATTCATCCAACATGACAATAATAGAGACTTTGATCTACATTTTCTTAGAAAGCAAAATATTTTATTTCTCCAATAAGCAGATATTAAACAAATAAAATGTATCCTTACCACAATCGCATCTTTAACATTTTTCCGGATGTCCAGGATTTTCTGTTTCTTTTCTCTGTATTAAAACAGAATTATTAACAATTTAATTTATCACCCCTATCAACCTCATCAACTGAGTAGGATTTCAAAAATCTTCAGCTATTTCTTTGGCATTTAAACCTTCAACATTTACTCACTGCCTTGTCTCTGCAGCAGGTATCAAGTGCAGCAATAGCAGCTTTTAATTGTGTCAGATAAGTCCACCAAGGCAATTAACTGAAAAGCTTTTTTTTGGAAATGAACAACACCCTCCCCTTACTCCCTGTGTAAGCTGATTATTTCTTTAATATGTATGTTTATGTATATCTACATATATTTAGTCATAAATGGTACCCTGGACATATATCTAAATTTAACTCAGTATAATTATAGCTACAAACATTAAGTACACAGACTTCTACATATACATGCATAAACACCTGTCCAAAACATGTGTTCCCTCTGTCTTTTGCTGTGTGTATGTGTATATATGTATGTATGTATGTATGTATGTATGTATGGAAACCTATAGTATATATAGCATATTTACTATCATAAATCTATACACACCCAGAATATGTTTGTAATTGTGTTAATTAGTTGAAATTCTGATGGTAGCTGAAAGATAATGATCTAATTATTAAGATATATAATGATTAATAGAAATTTGGGAAAGCTTCCTCAAGACTGACTTTCTACAGCTGAAGGCTACATGATAACCAATTACATTCTGTTGAATGTTTCATTTTGAACACCAGAGGAAAAAGATTTATTCATGTATGCGTTGATGCCTATTTGCATCTTTATATCACAAAATATAAACAGTGAATATTTAGTAATTTGCTATGTTAAAAAGTAGTCGCCATGTTGTTGCTACATAGGGGCCTGTAAAGGCACTGCAGTAGCAACAATATAAGATACAGTAGGGGGGATGTAAGGGGGAAAATTACAACCACAAATTTTCTTCTTACTTAAAGAAAATGCCTGGGCCATACCACAAACTTATCTATGTGGGAAAAATAGTTCTGAGCAGGATGCAAGAATGTCACAATGGGTATGCAGCTTTGAAGTAAAACAAACAAATAAATAACAAAACTATCACCACTTCTTACTCTGGATTAAATCCATTGACGTGCAGGATCCTCATTTGTTTGACAATAGTGCTTTTTCCTGACTCACCAGCCCCTGCCAAGAAAAAAAAATTACATTGCAATATGCGTCTTTATACCATTGACAAAACAGAATTCGTATTCTACACCAATACATGCACATACGCATATACATATACAAATACATATATACATACATACATATATTGATTACAGTAGGATTACAGATCATTCCAGAGGTGCCCTACTATCTTTCAGGCTCACAGATATTCTAATTACCAAACAAAATCAGTCCATGTTTGCATGAAACAACCCCCCACCTTAACTGCCCTCCCCTATTAGCATCCCATTTCCCTGTTAGCATATCGCTTCTCTACATTTCCAGCCGTGGGAAGCTCAGGCAGTTGCATCCCCCTCCTGCCTTACCCAGTAAAAGCAAACGGTGAGTCGCTTTATAAGCAAGTCTCTCTTTCTGCAACTGCTTCTCTATTTTTTTGTTGGCCTCTCGTCGCTCTTTTTCGTCGAGGCGCTGATCTTCCGTCTTGCTGTTGCCCAAACACCCCATGTCTGCCCGCCGGGTTGGATGTCAGTCAGATACAGTTAAGTATTTATATAAAAAGCAATAGTGATTTATATGTATTTATAGATTCCCTGCGACGGCTTCTCTCTTCCCTGCTGCTAAGATGGTCTCTCGATGCTTCCCGATCCAAAGCAGGTTTTTCCCTCACCCACCCCCCACCCAACCCCCCCAACGAAAAAAAAAAGAGATGCAAGGAAGATCCACGAAGAGGGATGTTTTTAAGGGAGAAAAAAAATCTGCAGCAGGGCTATAAATAGCATACAATGAAAGGGGGGGGGCGGCCCTTCTGGAAAAAAGCCTAATGCTGCGCTCTCTTCCCTCTCTCTTCCCTCTCCACCGCACACACACATACACCCAGACACACTCCCTATATTTCCCTGTAAAGGTCTATTTCTGCTTTTCTCCTAACTCAGCACTGCCTCTTTCTGTAAGACCAGGAAATAGTCCAAAGACAGACCCCCAAAGTGCAGAGATTTCCTCCTCTCTTTCTCCCCGTTCTCAAAGTCCGTTCTTGTCTGTCTGCCTCTCCCCCGCTCTGTTCCTTTTCCCTAATGCTCCGCTGCACCTCCAGAGAGGCGATATCCACGGCTTGTACACAGGCGCACACACACGTACCCAGTAGCACCCTCTCGGTGTGAGTGAATGAGAGCACAATTAAAACGCAGCCTCCCTACCAGCAGCGCTAGCTCTGTCTCTGCCGAAGCTCAGCACTGCCTCTTGCTGCCGGAGAGGTGAACAGCGAACATTGCATTCTCTTGCTCCCTCCCCTCCCCCTTTCCCTAGCCTCTCCTCCCTTAGGATTTCACTCTAATTCCAACTACATTTTTTTTTAAACCTGGGCGGGGAGGGACGGGGACGGAAGAAGAATGTCAGTCAGGGTCCTGATGAATACCCTCAGCCCCCCTCCCAGAAAGTGATGGAGAGGCTGCCGGGGTGGAGAATCACTCAGGCCGGTCAATCCTGACCCCGCCTCTTTCCCACTAGGTGGGCGCCGCCTGCACCCTGGCCACCACTGGGCTGCCGCCCCCTGGGCTCTGCTCCTCTGCAAACTTCACGTGGCCCTGAAGCAGCAGGAAGCAGAGAACCAAAGGCGGAGCTGTTTGCCTTCCACATGCAGTGTGCAGTGCGGGTGTGAGGTAGACCGATCTATACACACAAATCAGGGGCTGGAGATACACACAACACACACACACACACACACACACACACAAACATACACACTCACACACACTCACACACAGACACTCACACGCTTAAAGGGGTCCTCCTGCAGCTGATGCACAGAGGCATCTTGATATGCGGTGTCATTCCCTTCAGGAATTTGGGTAATTTTGAAAAGAAACAAAAGCAAAACAAAACCAAACCAACACAAACCAGCCTCCAAAACTGATGTTGAAAAGGTCAGTGGAAGTGTTCTGCAATTCCGGGCTAAGTGGTGACGGGAAGAGAATGCAGGGTGACCAAAGGCAGTGCAGGATCCCCACCCTCACTCCCATCCTGCCACTATCAGGATGCCCCCCCCCCGACGCCTGAGATTGATGTATTTTCTCTGGAGAATAAGATAGAGAGTGGGCTTTAACGTCCTCCTCCACACCTTTGCCTTGTGTGTGGAACCACCTAGAAATCAGTGTACCTTTAAAACTGCTGATGACTACAGTAGAGTAATACATATGGTATCAGAGGCACAGGATTTAAAGAGTTTTCACTGGTCACATGACCCCCTTTGTTCTCTTAATTTCCAACACTTCTTGCTCCCCCAATCCTCCACCTCTCCCTTTCCACCTTCTCCTCTTTCATGATTAAATCCCGCATCTTTCCTGTACAGTGCCTTCCCTTTATGAATTTTAACATCATTTTCCTAATGCTTTATGGAATAGGCCCCCATGGCCAAGGTTCTGTGCAATGGATGAAATCAAAACACTTGAATTTGATTTTCAGTTTTACTAATAAGGATGTAAGGCTGGTCAGTCAGTTAACCTCTCTATGTCTTATAAGGTTCATAGGATCATAGACACAGAACTGGAAAGGACCTGAGAGGAAATATGGTCATTTTAAAGATGAGCATACTAAAGCACAGGGAGGATAAATAACTTGCTCAAACCCGCACAGCTAGAAAGTCCCAGAGACAGGATGAGATTTACATCTAACTCCACAATTAGTGCTTTTCTGCAACTGGATTACTCTACACCCTTGCAGAAGGGGATACTATTTATCTCAACTGAAAAGGAGAGGCAGATGTGAACATTAGGGCCAGTTGTTTTTGAAATCACAATATTGTAAATCCTTTGCATTTTCAGGCAGCTATTATATAGACAACAAATATTAATAAAAACATGTTTAGGTTATTTATGATATTCAATTATTACATATAAGCAACACATTATGAAAGGCTGCTTTGTGAAGTAGAGTCAGGACACTTGTGTTGGGATCCTGGCTGCAATACTCAACTGACAGTTTATGGCAAGTTACTTTACTTCTCATCTTCAAATTAAGAATAATTATACTTCCACTACATACCTCACACTACTTTCTTTATACTTCCAAGAATACTGGATTTTATGAATATGAGACATTGCTTTGTTGACAGAGATCACAGCCCCTTTGTGCCTTAGTGAATAATCTTCCTGAGCTATGGCCCAAAATCCCATCAGCCTATGGCCAACATGGTGATGAGCCTCTCCAGTCTTAGATAGGATGGTACTCAAAGGACAGACAAACAGTCTACTATTTACCCCTTACTAGAGCTTTCCAGCCTGGAAAGACTAGCCAGAGCTTGTGTTCTATTGCCCTAGCAACGGGTTTTATTGGGCTCTGTAAACCGTAAAGCTATAGAAATATGCATTATTATTATTCCAATAGACTACTAGCTTAATGTCATCAGAAGATTACAATAAACCCTAGCAGCAGCAAAAGCTGCTTGCCACTTTGCTTTCATGGTGCCAAATCCCAGTCTAACAAATAATAGAGAGGAGGAGTGGCATCATAAGACATTATGACCAATATAAAGTCAAGGACAAGCCCTACTGACTACATATTGTTGTTCAGTTGTGGTCCAATCCCTTTTGGGTTTTTACAGATGAGGAAACCTCAGCAAACAGTTAACTGATTTGCCCCAGGTCACAGCTTGTAAGTGTCTGAGGCTGGATCTGAACTTTAGAAGATGAGTCTTCTTGAATTCCAAGCCCAGTACTCAATCCACTGTGCCATCTAGCTGCCCACTGACAAGGCCTCCAGCAAAAGAATAGCTCAATTAGGTTTCATATGTCAAAGACTTAACTAAATCTATACTTTTGCTAAATGGCAAGCAGCCTGATGCAGTGGGAAAGAGTATTAGATTTGGAGTCAGAGGATCTGAACTGAAATCTTAGCTCTGCTTCCAACTACCTGCTACCATTTGTAAAATGAGGAAGTCAAACTAGATGGTCTTTAAATACCTTTTGTTCTAAATCTGTGATCTTATGATAAAAATGCATAACTTTAAAAAACACACCAAACTATAAATCAAGGGTTCTTAAACTTTTCTGTGTCTTGGGCTTCCTTGGCCGTCTGGTAAAACCTACTGTGGACTTCTTCTCAGGCTGTTTTTTTAAATGCATAAAATAAAATACATTCAAGGAAACCAACTGTATTGAAACAGTTATCAAAGTATAAAAAAAAGTTCACTGACCCCAGGTTAAGCACCCCTACTTTAAAGTACTCCTGTTGACATAGGCAGACATACAATTTAACTTATGAGCTAGGTTAAATGATGTAATCTTGTGGGAAGATACCAGGTTAGAATCTGTTCACACATGTTTGCAAGTTAACAACATTAGCCTAGCATAGGTGTGATGAAGGATAGGGCAGTAAGGAGGTTAGATATTTTATACCAAATAAATGTGTAGAAGAGGAGCATGTGTAATGGAAGTGGCTTGCTTCATCTAATAAGTAGTGACTTCTTTTTTTTTTAACATGGAATATGATCCAACGATGAAGTTTTCTATACATATCTGCACGTGAAGACATATTTATATCTATAAGTCAAGGATGTTGAGTGTTTAACTTCCTCAACCTACCCAGACTACAACTACCTATTTATATACTCTTCCATAACTCAGAATCTTGGAGAGCTGTCAGAAGTTTAGAGAGCTAACCTTTAAGTGTTAGAGGCTTGCAGCTTTTTAATGCTCTTTCCCTCCTCAATTTACCTCATACTAAACTTATTCGTGTGTATGTTGTTTCCACCTAATACAATGTACTAATACAAAATACTGTTTCATTTTTGTCTTTTTAACCCTGGGGCCTAACAAAAAGAGGTCTTTCTGACTCCAAATCTGGTATTATTTCCACTATGTCATGTTGTTTCTATATGTGTATATATGTATATATATATATATATACACACACATACAAATGTGAATATTTATATGCATATATACACACATGTGTATGTATGAAGCAAATGGTAATAAAACAAAATTGGTGATATTTTGTAAGCAACAGATAGTCTGAGATAGTAAAAATTACTCTTATTATCATTAATAAACATTATTAATCTAGTAAAGTTTAGGATGGAGATTATAGGGATAAGGACCAGACTTGTGATTTCATTAGTTATAGGAAAGTCCAAGATGAGGAATTTAACTCTACCAATAGAGGCTGGTACCTTCCATGCAACTTAAGAGTCTTTAGTGAGTTGCTGGGAACACTGTTAAGTGACTGCCTAGGATCACGTAGCCTATATGTGTGAGTTAAGACTTGATCCCAGGTCTCCATGGTTCCAAAGTCACATCTCTAATCACTAAGCCATACTGCCTCTAGAAGGTTATAAGGCTAATAATAAAATTTAATTTTCTCTTTTTATATTTCTACTTCTTGGATTCACAATCCAAGCAATATTTTTCCAATATAGGTGATAATGTTTGAACTATTCACTTTTTGGCATGTTGTTTGATTTCTCTTAGGAACAAATGATCCACTATAGGATACAGATGAAATTGTAGTTTGGAGGTGGAAGGAGACAAAGAGATTATATTCAGAAACAATCTCATAAAAACTGCAAATGTCCATTTATTTTTTTAAAAAAATGTCATGTGATAAAAAATGCCAAAAGCCTAGTTCTACCCACTAAATAGCCTAGGAACCTATAGTGCCCTAGAAAACTGATAAAGAATTCTTGATTCTATGGAACACACTTTGCATAACCACCTTTATGCTGACAAAATCTCAATGTCAATCAAATTATTTTAAAGTGTTATATTAAGGGACTCAGGAGATAGCACCTGATCTCTGAAGAGTTCCATGTTCTTGTAGCTTTTTAATGCTCTTTCCCTCCTCAATTTACCTCATACTAAACTTATTTGTGTGTATGTTGTTTCCACTTAATACAATGTGCTAATATGAAATACTGTTTCATTTGTGTCTTTTTAACCCTGAGGCCTAACAAAAAATGCCCGGCACATAGCAGGAGCACAATAAAAGTTTGCTTAAATAAACTGAATATACAAATCACTGATCAAGAAGAAGTTATTAAATATTTCTTCTATAAAAATGTATCCTCTTTGTTTAATATAACAACACAAAAAGGGTTAGTTTAGCCAGTATTCTATTAACTAGAACACTAATAAATACAGCCTTTCCAAGCATATATATACTACGTAAGAATAACTGCTGTTCATAATAATGGACCTGAGGCAAGATCCTGAAGTGCCTTCTG